ACCAGTATATGGTTCCAAATTAAGACATCTTACACAGATAGTCTTTTGCTCCTCATTTTTGTACTTCTCCCATTCCTTACCAGGGAATTATAGAAGCTATTAACATTGGTTTTGCTACACTTCTGCTCTGTAAACCTTTGTTCTGCAAATTGAATGTAAAGATTTAAAGGTGCATATGTCTATATTTATAAAATATATGGCTATGACTCTATTAAAAAGCTCAAGAATGGCAATAACAGAATACAGGCACTTCTATGTGAGGGTTACTGTAGACCTTATGAAACTCCAACATTAGTAAGCACTTCACATGATACCTGCATGAGTAAGTCAATGTAATAGTTCAGTTTATTATCCACCATTTTAATCCTGTCTAAGCAGATTAGTTTCTTGTACCTAGACAATATTTATTTAGCAAAGTGTTTCAAAATAGTGACTTTGCTGAAACTACCATTTTTTCTGTAGCTATAAGACTTTCAGTGATTTACTGGGCTTTGGAATAAACCCCAGATCCTAAATTATGTGCTGCAGCAGTTACAGTTTAGGTTGTGAAGCTGACAAATTAAATGAGAACTAAACAGGGGTTGAAAGCAGGGGTTGAGTTCATCTGATATAGGACCCAGGGGGAATGGGAGCACTACCCTAAGTGCATATAGTTCCATTGGGTTTTTATGCACCAAAAGACTGTAGTTAATTTACACTTTTTTTTTTAAAATAAGTTTGTGAACGTGTTCTCCATTCCTAAACACTGCATTTAAATATAACTCCTGTCTGTCATTAATTTAAACAGTAAAACTTCAGCACCAAGTAGAAATCATTAAAAGGAAAATTTTTGACGATGAGAACAATCAGCCATTGGAATAATCTCCTCAGGGAAGTGGTGGAATCCCCAACATTGAACACTTTTAAAATTTGGCTGGAGAGGGTGCTGGGCCATCTTGTCTAGACCATGCTTTTTCCAAGAAAGGTTGGACCAGATGATCCTTGAGGCCCCTTCCAACCTGGTATTCTATGATTCTATGAAAAGACCATCTAAACCAAAACTTAATTTTATAAAGCTCTTTCTCTACAGCACAGATTAAGCCAGACCTGCTACATCCAAATCCACATAATTTTTCTAAGATTAAAATAATCTTTGGATTAAGAAATCCATGGTTCAGGTGTTCTGTTAGTAAGTAGTCATACAGGACAGAAGGATAGGCCAAGCAATAGGTCAGCCATTCACTATGACAGCTGGCATCTCTTATTGCTACAAGGTAATGGAAGATATCAGCACTTAAAATAAAAAAAAAAAGAGGAACTTTTACAACTAACACCAGAACATCACTTAAGACTTAGCATGATACTGGCCTATCACACCATTTTAGCATTTCATTATTAAAACTACTGAACTACTTTCTACAACTGTGTCCGAGTTCACTGGCAGGTTTCATGATTTTTCCTGATTAATCCAGTCCTGTCTCAGGTTTACTATCAATCAAGTCATGCGAGCCAAGATTAACAGCTATTTTCATGGAAACATATCCCCTTAAGTTACTGCTAGACAAAGAAGCGTAAGACAAAGCAAAGTTATTTTGAGTGTCATAAGCCTGTATATATGGGAATGAAAAATTAGTCTTACTTCCTGCAGAAAACTTCTCTGACTGTTTTTAATTAGAAACCATAAAATGTATATGTACAGGGATTTGGAAAAGTGATACAGCCAGTCTTTGTTATTTAATGTATTTTGTTAAATACTTCATTTACAGAAAACTTAAAGAGATTTCAAACAAATAAAACCATATCTTACAAATGCAAGTCTAAAACTTTCAAGAAGTCTCTGGGAGATGTTTAGATGATATTGCCCAGGAGACTGGCACATCCTCAGTTACAGTTTGATCTATTCTTGGTTCCATCTCCACCTCCATTACAGAACACTTGCTTTCTGTATTTCCTCCCCTCCCTTTAAAAAAAAAAAACCAAGAAGGACTGATCACATTTCCTTGGAAATAAAAAAATTTCTATTGATTTTAGTAATATCAACTCAGTGATCAAGGGTCAATGGAAATTGACTTCTCTGAAGAACTAGCAAGAAGCCTATACATTACTTACACCCTCACAACAAAGATTAATCAATACTTCTGGCCACACAGGAAATGCAAGTTTGAGTCATGATTTTTTTTTTAAAATAGATGAGCAAGACTGGTTATGGGACTGGGCCTGGTGTCTAGAAAAATGTGAGATGCTTAAATAAAATAGTCCCCTAATTAGTATTTTTTCTGATCAATGCTGTTTCTGTAATTAAAGTGAAGGTATTTTTAAATCTCCTCAGCTGTTTATTTATGCCTGTAATAAATGTTGCATTTACATCCTTGTACTGATTAATACAACTGAAAAAAAAGCAGCAATACTGTGGCATAACTAGATTTTTTGGTTTTTAAACCTCATCACTGAAACTTTACCATCTCAACTCACTGAAGGCTAAGGTTACTCTTTGTCCAGTTTTACCTAGACAGGTTTGTGTTCTCCTGCAAATCTCCTTCTCAATAATTTTTTTTCCTGATGGAATTTGCAGACTTTAGCCGTTATTCTAGGATATATGGCCATAGAGCAGGCCCAGACAGAATGCTACTGTACTCATACAGATAAACTTTCTTGATGTGTTCAATTTGTTGTGCATATGCAGATCAACTGTATGTATTACATGCAGTAGGTCCAGTGTTTCCAGGCTGCAACAAATGCACTGGGCATCCATGACATAGGGCATGTACACAAGTTTCTGCTTAGGAAGTTCTGGCAGCTTTACTCAAGGCTAATAGAAGACAATATTCACTTTTAAAAATCAAGGGTTCTTTCCATGCCAATTTTTAAACCAACAAAATAGGCAGAATATGAGTATGTAGAAGACATAGCATGCAGGAAAAAAAGAACAATGACGTCAGTGAGAAAACAGTTTAAAATAGATATTTAAGGTCCTTTTCTCACAGGTAAGAGTAACAAAGTGACAGCTTTTTTCTATGGGAGCAATATGGGCCCCTTACGTAATACATAATGGTTTAAGGAAGACTTGCATTTAATGCAGCTTCACTTCCAAACAAGCAGAGATCACTTTGTTACTGACTTTTGAAGACAAATGCCATAGCAGGTGTCAGCCACCATACACTTGTTATTGTTCAGAACATGTATGTATTTCTATACATTGTTTACAGAGAAGCAGATAAAGTACCACCTATGGAAGAAGTGCAGCAATCTAGCAGTATGGAAATAAGTTGTAGCATTTCTAGAGTAGCTCAATGCAAATACAGGATATGTATTCCATTTGCATCACAAGGATGAAACGTCTTCGTCTTCCATTTGTTTCTTTGGTACCCTTATGGAACAGTTCTATAGAATTTAACAAGAGGGGGAACAACGGTAGTTTTATGGAAACTTAACAGTATGTAAATTACTTTTAACTAATAAATACTTCTGATGAAATGATGATGATGGAAAAACACAGAAAATTGACATTAAATTCTACTGCATTTTTTCATAGAGGTATGGAATGGCAAAGAATGCTATCCTGGGTAAAAATAACAAAGAAATCTCTAGCATTCCATAACATTCTCAATTTAATCTATTTTTTGCCACTGAAAAGGAAAACAGTAGCTTAGAATAAATAAAAGGCCCAGTTCTGCTCACATTGAAATCAGTGAAAGTCAAAGTCAGATGGAGGCAAGGTCAGTCCCAGAAAGTGGCACACTGAAAGCAATAAAAGCAGCAAAACAAGTATATGAACTGTTGATTTAAAAAAAAAAAACCAAACCAAAACCAAGATACTTCCTATTCTCATTTCTGCCCTATGTTTACCTGCTTTATAGCTAGAAGTAATCACACTAAAATTCACTTATTTTCCTTGGGAGTCAACTATTATTAGCAACACTACCCAATCTCTTAAGAGAAATGCAGTGGCTGGGTAGAGATTTGAAGCTAACAAACCTGAAGATTTGGGGTGAAATAAATAGCATTTATTACAACATATTCCTTCTCATGTGACACAAACTGCCCTCTGAGTCCTACAGTTCAAAATAACTCCCCCCTCCCCCCGATACACACACTGCAAAGCCAAATCCCACCAAACATTTAAAAGAAATAAAACTGATCTTAACAGCAACAAGAGTTGATGTAAAAAAAAAAATAAAATCTATGTAGTAACCTACAATGAAATGATACCAGTACTTCCAGTTTTCTTTAGGAGAAGCCACTTTTCATATATCATGGCTCTTTCTTCGCAGTTGTTTGTAGCCATTATCCATTCTTGCAAGAAAGAGTTCAGATATAAGTTCAACTCCAAGTTACTCTCTGTTCTGTGAAAAATTAGAGGATAGATCCTTCTGCCACCACTACGGCCAATTCCCACTGACATCAACTGATCAATACTTGAATTTACCCAAGCACTTAAACACTCATGCTTAAAGTTAAGCACATGTTTGACTGTTTAGTGGTGTCAGGAACCTAGTTGCAGGCATAGGATCAAGCTCCAACAACTGTGCTTGAATTCTCAGACATAATCTGTGTATTCAAGGACTTCATGGCAGGCTGTTTCAGGGGGAAAAAAAAAATCCTTCTTAGGCTACAGTAGAACTGGGGATAAGTAGAAAAACATTCAAAATATTTGAACACAAATATCTGAAAAATTATCAGAGCAGTTGCTTGTGCACTGCTAGAATCATCATTTTGCCCCAAGTCATAAATACAGGGTAAAACCACTATAAATAAATAGATCAGCTCACTTTCCTTTAGAGAATGAACACATAAATAATATACATTTCAAACAAAAAATCATAGTGCAAAAATAAATTATCAAACGGAAGTTGTGAACATTATTTTACACAATGCTATATAAAACCTGAACCATTTGAAATAAAAGACTTTGCAGTTCACTGAAATAATGCATTAACATTATTATTTCTGCTTCACATTAAACTGCACAGTTTATCCTTTATGCCCTAAAAAAATAAAAATAAAATAAATTAAAAAACCCCTTAAGCTTTTTAAAAGGTTTATGGCAAACAAGATCACTTTTTGTTCTATCACATTTGTTATTAATTTAGCAGTGCAGTGATTGAATAATCATCTTGGAGTTCCAGATGGAAACTATTGAAGTATCCATAAACATCCCTTGCTCTTTATAACTCATTTTCTTTGAAATTCAGGCTTGAAACATCCTGACACTCAAATCTGTAAGACATTATTGCAGTTAGATGAAGTTACAAGAGACAGTCTACAGTCAAGTACTGTGGGAGACTTCGCAGCTCTCCTCACCATCACCGTGATCTTGTACGAGACATGAATGTAAGGACACGTCTGATGCCATTCAAGCGGTCTTTGAGGGATTTCATGGCAAGGAAAGGGAGCTGAGCTCTGTTCTCAAGTGGAAGGACAGCTAGGACCCACCAGCACCAGGCTGGCCCATTGGGGTTAGCCTGCAGTAAGGGGAAATAAAAAAACCAGATAAGTTAGGATACATATAGATGGTAAGGTCTTGTTTTTGAAGATTTAATTTTGAAAACGCAGTATTTTGACAGCCATCTAGCAAGCAGGTCATTTCATTGCCAACCTAATGGCTTGTGATTACAGGCTGGTTTGAAACAAATTACAACCAAGTTGCACCTTTCCTAAAAATAGGATGTTAAAGGTAGAAGCAAGATGCATTTCTGTTTCTAGCAACAGTTTATAGGTTGGGCCTTCTAGATTTTTTAAAAAAATGTATTTTGTTCCCATGTTATTATTGACCCAGTTCTTTGGGATTCCTGCCTCTTCTTCATACTTTATGACACTTCTTTATATTTAGTTTCTGTTGTTATATTCTGTTATTTTACGATCTCTACCATTTACAGTCATTTAACAAGAGCACCAAGTTTCCTCTTGTCTATTTTCTCTCAGTCATTTAATTGGGGTAGTAGGCAAAAAGGCATTTAATTAATTGATACTCTCAGTTAAGTAGTCTCAGGAAGTTAGCACCATTAAAAATGAGCTTTTTGTTTGCAACTGTGCTACCACTGGTGTATGGCAACATAACTTAGGTACTTAGCTTATGCAGGATAAATGAAGAGTATTCATATTTTTGTCTTAAAACACAATGCCTCCCAGCTTATTGGATATCACTGCTATTTCTGTCTCTAAAAGTTATATAAGCCACTGATTCTGGATACCTGTGGGTCAGGATCCTTAGCCGGCATTGGACCAAAATGACTGAGAATCCGACTTTTGAGTGCTTGCTTGAGGGAGTTAAACCACATATATGCCTGATCATAGACAGAATCATGGAGAACAAGTAATGCAGCATACTCTTGTCCTTGCACCTGGAATGAGTAAAGAGAGGAGGAAGGTTACTGTTAGTGCAGTCTGCGTATTGGGGAAGGCAGAACGTTAATTTTTAGGATTTTCTGGGATGAGGAAGGGAAAGGAAAAGGAAAAGAAAAGCATGTCAAGAGAGTTTGAGATAAATCCTGTAAGCTAGTTTGGTGTCCCCCATTCTTTTTTGCCCCCTCTGCAATACCTATTTGCAGAACAAGCACTGTCTGGATTGCTATATGAAAAAACCTTTAAACATCCTACAAATCAGAAGAGAAAATTATGAAAAGCTTTTTAAATTATTTAGCACCTCCTCAGAGTAGAGATTTTATCTTCCCATTGTATACCAAAATTCTGCAGGTGTAGTGGACCCAGGCCTGCTCCTTCTTACCTGTATGGGTGTTTTCTAATGGGCTGCTTTGCAAATGGAGGCAGGTTCCCCCTCAACCCCATATAAACTGCAGTTATTCTGTCTAGAAGAGTGGTAAGATCTCATCCTGGATTCACCTAGTTTTGTCTTCTGCTAAAAACCTCTAGGAAAAACACTCTTCAGTATATGGGCAGTGTGTGTGCATGCTTGTGGGAACTATTACATTTCCCATCTTTAACCATGAGCAGTTAGTAAATACCACAAGTTTGTTTTACTAGAAACTGTTCTACAAAAAGAAAACTCACTGAAAACATATGTACTTAGAATTTCACATGAAATACAGTTTAAATGAAATATTTCTAAATTTACCTTTTGATCCTCAATGTACTCAATATCCGCTGTGTTATAGCCATCACGCTGGCTATGCTGTATCACCTTAAATCTCCTCTTGCCGATGCTGTCTACAACAGAGCGACCATCAGCAAAGAATTCAACATTTCTTATCTCCAGAATGCAGCCATAATCTGCAAACCTATTGAAATTAGAACAAAAGCAAGTAAACAAGTCTTATTCTCTCCACCCTTAGTTTCACAGAACTGCCATACAGCCAGTCCCTACCACGAAGGTATTTACCAGTGTCAGCTCATTTCTTTTGTTCATAGTACTGACCTGCTGTAGTTCAAATTATTCCACAATTGTTTTCAAAACTATCAGGAAGATTCAGGCTGTCTAATCTGATTAACACTAACTGCGTGTTTTGGAATACAGGGAACATCTTACGAAATGGAAAGTTATACAGCTCAGAAGCACACTTTCTCCATAATCCTAATACTTCCAGTCAATTTGTACAGAAGAACAAGTGCGATTCAGAGTATTAGAATTATGGAAGGACTATGAAATCTATAAAGAAAAAAGTTTCCCCACAATTTCAGCAGATTTTACTTTGTAGGTGTGTATTTTGTGTACACCATACTCTTTATGGAGTATACCTACTCTGTAGGCATACACCATACAAAGAAGGGAGGAAAGCTAAGCAGAACAGACATTCAGGTCAATTTACCTAAGACTGACTGTAAATGGCTCAATGTAAATGCTCAGCCAGTCCTAACTTCACAGCCATAACTTCAGTCAGTTATGAAGGTCCTGTTGTACCTCTGCAGCCTCCACTATATTCAGAACAGTGAGGATATAAACGTATCCCAATAGCTTAGCTATTCTTTTAATTAAAAAAAAACCAAAAACCAAGACCGCCAACACACCTTACTGCCACTTCAATTTGATGTCCTGTGCCAAAGCATTCAACAGATTTCAAAATGGTAGAAAATACACTTCTTTTTCATGTATTACAAGAGGTCTGCATCTCAACTTCATATAATACACACTAGTTGTGTGTTTCAAGAAAAACGGGCAGTCGTATTAGTCAGAATCTAAGTGTCCAAGAGAGAAATTTAAGTCTTCTCAATGTCTTTAACCAGCATGATTAGGAAGAAACTTTCTCTACTGGAAAACTACCACAGATATTACAGCCATAGACCTTTCTGCACTTCTCCAAAGAGACTTGCTCCAGACTTAAGTGGGGTACATCCCATGGTCCAAGCATGCTGATCACTCACCCCTTTACAGGGTCACTGATACACATCCCAAATTGTTTGGTGCCAGTCTCCATGCATCTTCGAATCATCAGGCGATAACATGGCTCAAAGATGTGCAAAGGGCATGGGACTGTAGGATAAGCCATTGTGCAGACAAATATAGGAACGTTCTTATTTAGGCTGTAAGAAAGAAAGGACAAATCACATATGACATTTTATCAAAACTACTGACAAGGTATAAAATACATTTTACACAATAACATATTCTTTAAAATTACGATATCTTTAAAGAGAAATTATAACATCTTTAGAATGAAATTCTTATTCCAGTAAGTAAAAACTAAAATTATTTTTCCCCTTAATTGGCTAGATATTATGGAAAGTGATATACTACTTACTAGCAGAAGAATTTTTAGTTATGTTTTCTGGTTTTGCTAGCAAGAGCACTAATGCATCTCTTATGCTTTTATTTACTTTATTTTCCTTAATCTCATTTCTCCCCTACCCAGTACATTCCAATCCCCAGCCTGTGAGACTACTTCCACCTATTGTCTCTCACTCTGTGGCCTTCATGGAGGGCTGCTGAAAGCAACCACACTGCTTTATACTTTGTTTATAACGCAACCTCTGGATTTCTTCTGCTTCTGTTTATTGTGTAGCACAGTGTCCAGTTTTTATGCTAACTAAAAGCACAATTTCACCTGGACCCTGTTCTCTTTGAAATCACACGATAACAAGAAAGAAGCTCCTTTGTCAGCATCTTAGCTTGTGCTCCACAGCAGCAGGAGCCGTTCATCAGCTAACAGCAGTAGTATTAAAGATTGGATTTCACACAAATGGATTACATACTTGGAAAGCTCTGCTATTTCCTCTTCATAAATCTTTCTTCTTTCAGTGAGTTCCTCTGGAAGGTATCTAGCTATTAACTCCTCCATTAGTACTGTTTTACAATATTTCCTCATAGCCAAGCACTGCAGTAAAAACACACGCAAGCAGTTATAGATAATGTCCAGCATTTCAAAATGTATGATCCCTATGCACAAGGTAGTCATCCACTAGCTCCATTTTCTTACGTCTATAGCAAATCAAGATGATCTTTTAAGGTTGCACTGCCACTGAAGAGTTGTTCAGTGATCTATTCCCTATGTTATGGGCATTATCGGAGTTGTTTATTGATCTATTCCCTATGTTATGGGCATTATCTTGGGAAATCTGGGAAGTAAAGTCACCTACAGATTTACTAAGTACAGGTCTGGTCCTAAGGTTTGAACAAGGGAGACCATCCATGCTTTGTAAGTCACAAGAGCATTTTAAAAGTCACATTCTTCTTAACTTATGTAGAATTTCTTTTGCGCTGGGAAATATCAAAAGTTTCTGAAGGTGCTACTTGATCCTATCCTGTGCTCTTGAATTTATGCTGAGAAAATCCAAGCATCATTACCTCTGAGAGCCCTTCCTTGCACAGGGGACATTTTGGGTTGTGATCCAGGCATCTCTCAAGACATTTGAGACAGAAGGTGTGTCCACAAGGTGTAGTGACAGGTTCATAGAAGAGCCTGGATTGGGAAATCCAAAAACAAAAAGACAACAACATCATGTACCAAAGTAAAAGAAAAAGCTGCTACCAAAAAAAGCTGTATTCATTCACTAATTTAACTACTGACTACTCCAAGGATAAAGTCTTTCCTTGCTTTTCATTTCTTCAACTTCTGTATTTGTTCAGCTTACAGACTTTCTTACTGCCACCTAAAGTGAAAGACAGCCCATGAACTGTGACTTCAGGGAATGTGAGAGAGTCCTTAACTTCCAACAAGCCATGGTTTAGTTTTCCTCTATACGAGCGATAAACAGAAGCAGCAGTTGGATCATCTGACTTTTTCTTATGAAACTGAGCAATACTTGCACAACTATTACTGTGGAAATCATGTGATTACTTGTATGTGTAGAGCTAAGCACAAAATAGCTATTCACAGTAATAGCCCACATAAGTGATTGCAATAAGCTATGTGGACTTGGAAATCAGTTTTGTTGGAATAGACAGATTTTAACCTCCAAAGGACTGCTTTTCTGGAAAATGAGTGACATTAGGTTCATGTTTTACCTAGAAAAGTATTTAAAAATATAAGGCCAGGTCTTCAAAGTATCATGGTATCTAATCTTTAGCCATTTCTAGTACCTCTGTGACACTTCTTTTCATGTAAGGGTTTTTTACTTATTATGATTACGTGACATTGCAAAGTGATGTTTCCTTGCCAGTAAGTACCTTAAGGAGATGTAAAGAATATGAAAGGTTTTGGGTTTTTTTAAATAGAAAACATTTGAAACTAGAGATTGTTCGCCATATACTATATTTTACAACATACTGTCTAAGCATTTTAAGGTCTCAAATATTAGTATTATTATAATTTAAATGAATTAATAAGTTTACTTTAAAATATTACAGGTTATCAAAACAGTACACTAAGTTCTATTATACATGTGGAAATTATAAATATGTAAACCCACATTTATAGGCATCTTTAACAAGATGAGTGTATTTGAGAATGTAATTGGCTCTTAACAAGATTGCTATAGCCAGTTTATTAAATGTCATTAGTTACTATAAATGTTGACATTTAAGCAGGGGAACATAGGAAGAATTATCTAAAATACCACACCTATCTTATTGCAACTTGACTGTATAATTGAAAACCCTTGTTAATCGTTTCACGAACAGAAACCTTACTGCGCCAAGGCTACTTTACTGTTTTAAACTATGTAAAATACTGAATTCTACAATATATTTCAGTAAGCACTGCTTTGCATATGCAATCATTTTGTAGTGACTTACTTGATCTAAAATGTTAGCATAAAGACAACCAATTCCTGCTACAATGCGTGGTTCTGTGCTAGCTCTCATGAAAGCCAGCAGCAGCTTTTTCCTAACAACCAAGAGGACCTGGACCAAGCCTCTTAACTTGCAGAAAGAAACACTATACACCAAGATTTCTCATGACATCATTTTAAGCTATTGTAACAACAGAAATTAAATATTCACTCATACTGAGGAAGGTTCCTTCATTTCTCAACAGTATGTTGCTTTGACTATCAGTTTTTATTTTTCTGCTTGCTGCCAGAGCAAATATAGATCAATAACATTTTGGCCACTCCATCAGACAAATAGGTTAATAACAGCTCCTGCAGTTAATTGTAAACAGGTCAGTAGGTTAGTAGGTAATTAGTCCAAAGTATCTCAGGATCCAAATCCCTAAAATACTTCTGAATAACATGGCAGGAAATAATTATAATCAATCTGCATTAATTGCAAGAAAAAGATCTTCTGACAGCTCCCCTTAGCGCAAGCCTTCATTGTTGCAGTGATGTTACAAAGCTAACATCCTTCTAGATGCAAGGCCTGTATTTGTGATTGCAATTACAAGATCAGCATCGCCATCCTCTATACTGTAAGGGAATCAGCAAATCTTGAGCTAATTCCTTAAAAAATGTATTGTAGTCTGGCTGTTTCTGATTTAACAGAGTATGAGGAAGTAGGGCTAATTAATTTTATTAAAAACATCTGAAAAATGCTTTGTGGACACAATGAGCATAAACATGCAGACTCATTAAAACCAGCTAAGACTAATCGTGTGGCTTTCTGTTAGAGGAAAGTTTTGCTCTTAGCAGTATCAAGTGTTTTGACAGCTGTATAAACTTTTGGAGCACATTTCAGCTGTAGGCAGATAGAGGGAAAGGAGGCAGATCTGATTTATTCCAAGCAGAAGTGAATCAAACAACACAGCAATTGTTTCCCCAAAGGTTTCAGTTTGTCTGAAATAAATTGAAGCCCCCCCACCCCTGCATACAAACAAAAAAACCAAAGCAAATCCAGATTTCTCAAAGCACAGGCCTTCAGAAATAAATCCATGAAGATTTTATCTGCTATTTAAGAATTTAAAATATAGTGCAAAACTAACCCCAACATGCATTATTGATAAATCTGGGTAATTAAAAAGGCAAACCTAAGCAACACTCACTGCAGAGGTCAAGACCCCTGTGAAACACCTTCCCAATATTTCCTTCTAAGTCAGTAACAAAACCCCACATGTATACTTGCCGAAGTTAAAATGATTTTTACAAAACAAGTAGTAAAATAAATGTAGCTGACAACTCCTACTGGTTTTATCAAGTCATTGCTGCCCCCAAGAATAACTGCTGTTTAACTGCAAGAAATTATCATGCAAATGGAGTGATGGCCTTAGTAAGCTAAGGAGCGCACCTCTTCAGCAATGGAAGGAAAACATGCTCTGTTTGCTTGCAAGACCCTCCTATTGCAATAGCAGCAACACAAGATTTTACATGCAAAATTGGAATATTCATTGGATGGGGTCTCTTTAGCTATTTTGTGCACTATGTGACATCATACACAGCTCTACAAATTCCAAAGGACAAACTTGGGGTTTGTGCACTGTGTCAGTGGTGAGAGGAAATCTTTCAGACACCTTCGCTAACACGGTTAACCCTCACGTGACCTTACGTGCCCTCTCTCAAACAATCACTAGCCTAGAACAGATCAAAAAGTTCCTATTCATCAACCGTGTTCTTCACAACCAAAGGTCTAGAAATGCATCACTGGAACAACAATTATAATAAAAACTAATTTCAAGTCAGAGGGAAAAATAAGTACCAAGTAAGCTAGAAAATCTCTAGGTCATAAAAGGAAAAGAGATACAGCTTAAGAGCTAAAGAAATCCATGAGAAAACAATGACTACCTCATACACAGGGAGCAGTCCAAATCGGATGGATCCACAAATTCAAATGGAGTATGTTGTCCAGTACTACTTCCCTTAGTATCAACTGTATCTATCAATAACAAAAACCATATAATGTAATTGAGCAGAACTGTGTAAACACAATGGTATTCCATGCATCTACAAGCAGTATCTGATATTTAAATGCGTATTGTATATACTTGCAAGTTACTGAACCATTTAGCATCATTACAATAATTCCTATGCAAAGCATCAAATTCAGCCTTGGCACAAATCAGCATACCTCCCCTTAATTTTGGTGACATTATAAACACTTACAGAGGGTTGAATTTAGCCTTGCATTAACCATTAATGTCAAAACATTTTTTATTAGTGTTGGAAGTCTAAAGTGAGACAAATTCTTCTGTCATACCATTGTAAATACATCCCACAGCATGAAAACAAGGCCAGATATCATGAACAAACAGAATTTGTGCTTTTAAACACACTTTTTAAAATTGATCCAGAAAGTGCTAAGACCATGCACAACATTGATGTTCCTTAAAAGATTCAGAGCTCTGCTGACAAACAAGCACTTGACCCAACCTTCTAAGCCCCCTTTTTAGATTAACTTTTTTAACACACAAGAAAGCTTCCACATCATGCCCTGATTAGGCTAAAGAGAAAATAAAAGCCAAAGTGTAATTTGGAACCTTTTCCTTTAAGTTTTATAAAAGCAAAATTTCCATTGATTGCACACCATGGAACTTATCCTGTGTGTAGTTAAACATACCTTTCTTCATCAGTTTGCAGGGTACCTCAGCATTTCGCCTCTCTTCTGAGCAGCACTTCCTTTTCAGGAGGCTGCACTTCTCAGAAATGAGAAAGGTAGACTCTGGCACGGAGGCAAGTTTGTTCTCCTCCTCTGAGCAGTCCTTTTTGCTCTCTGTAATTTGTATAGATTTCCTCAAACTACCAGAAGTAGTTACATTTGGTTCCTCTTGAATGGGAAAACCCTTTTTCTGTTCCACATTTACCTGTGTGAAGAGAGGACTGACATTAGATCAATCTTCCAACAACTTGGTAAGGGAAAAAAAAAAACCCCAAACCTGTCACAAGTCTTTAATATTATGGATCACCAGGAAGGACTTTGCAGGTCAAGAAGCAACAGTTTGAGAATTGCTGTGTCAGGGCCTGATTTTAATTAAAAAAAAAAAGCAAAACTATTCCCCCCACCAACCAGCCCCAGCCCCGCCATGGCACTGAGTATTTTCAGCCCTTACACGTGGCTTTATAGCTTGGTCACGAAACTTGATTCATGCAGAAATGTGGCTAGATCTCAGGTTAAATATTCTGTTATCGCTTAACCTATGGAAAAATGCATATTGTTTCTATTATAATGACGGTATCAACCATCAAAACAACTAAAACAATGCAAGTTTATTTTAAGGAAGCAGTATAAATACACAGAATTTGTAACAGAGTAAACGCACAGAGCTTCCTTTAGGAAGACAGATTTCTTTCACAGAGGATAAAACGATCCGTCTTCACCCCGTTATGGCTACAGAACCACCTGTGAGCAGCCACTACATGGGACATCACCTATCAGCTTGTCACATCGACTCCCCAGATGAACCTGAAAGCAGATACTGTGGACTGTGATCAGGAGCTGTGGTGATGCATAACATGCAGAAAGATGAGTGAACTGTCCCTCAAATGACTTCATGAAAGGGTCACACAAAAGGATTTCTTGTCAGGATATCCTAATAGCCTTTACAGAACGCAACATCACTGATTGTTCTTCTCAGTCTAAACAAGGCTGCTCAAAACCTACCATTTTTGTTTGTCAGGACTAGTGAAGTTCTCTCCTACCTATACAGTATATGCAAAACCTATCCTCAAAGTTCAGGTTTCAGTGAAGCAAAAGCAGTCCTTACAAACCCATGAATGCAAACATTATCCCTACAGCCATTTACAAAGCCATGGCTGTGAAATCAAACTCATGGAGTAGCTAATATATCTTATGTGGCTCTCCAATAACCTCCAAGTAGTGTACAGAATCTGAATGCAAGATGATTTTGTCACTGACATCACCAGTTACAGTTCCAGCTGAAACCCTAGATTTTAGCATTTCACACCTTTTGAGGGTATCTCAAACCAATCTTCAGAGGCCCTTTCCCACTAGCTCTGTCAAGTAGTTGGCAAAGACAGTTAAAGGAATAGAACCCCCTCAATTCTGGCATAAAATCTCTCAGAACAACAGGAGAGTACTTCTGTTAGAGAAAAAGAAGTCAGATAAAGAGACTTCAGTAAGTCAACACCGTTTTGTATCTTCTGAAACTCAGTAAAAATCTGAGAAAAATCTATCCTCCTATCTCCCAGAGGTGAAAAGGAGAGAAGGCTTCCCAACACGAACATAAAAGACACAACAAATTAAGAACCACAACAAATTAAGAACCACGCATCAGACTTGATCTTTACCTTGAGCAACCTTTGTAGGTTATGGCTGGTGCCTCCAGATCCCACTGAATTTAGGAGATTCCCCTTTAATCTAGAGTGATGTGACAACAGCTGCAGGATATCGGGTAAGTGTTCCTGAGCATTTCCCGGGATGAGTGAAAACAAACTAAGTAGAAGCTGTGATATAAAACAGAATACTTCACTGCTTAGTTCCTTCCTTGCAACCTCTAAATGAAAAAGCAAGTAAGGGAATAGCTGAAAGAAGCATTCTTGATTTCGTTAAAACCATTTAAAGAGCCCTTTAGACTAGGGTAAGAACAAAAAGTGCAAGAGCTAATGCAATACAGGCCAAACAGACAGCAAGAGACATTTTCAGAGTTAAATAAGCCCATAAAGTTATTAACCGTTCTCTGTGATGTGACATACACATGCCTTTGTCCTCTTTGTCCTGCACTTCAGAGCTCACCAGAAATTACTAACATCTTTCTTATATATGTTTTTTTGCTGCACATTAGAAGCTTTCACTGGAGTTTACTAGTACAGAGAGCACTCACCTCACAGGCTTAATCCAAGTTCAGTTAAATAAATGTCTCCAATATTGTAAACTGTAGCTATTTTTAATTCACTTACGTGAGAATACCAAAACAATGTAGGCAGGAGAAAAATGCTATTTCTTCATTTGCTATCAGAAAGTAACTGAATCTGTTTCAAGTAGTAGCTTGCTTGTAGCCACTTGTATGGCGTAGCTTATCAGATGATTATACAAGGAAAGGAACAGAGCTGAATGGAAGATTCACACTTCAAAAACTAATTTCAGCATACTACTGAGGCAATCCTGCTGATGCCTGAGGAAGCCACATGACAGCTAAGATTTCTTTTTAAAGCCAAAAAGGATTCCACAGGATCACACTATGTCAAAACTAACATGGACAGACAGTTAATATAAGCAGAACATCACAGCTGCACCCAAAGAATCTGGTAAAATGTAGTATGCCATTGTTATGCAAACAGCCTTGCAAATGACCCAGTAGAATATTGCATCGTGTCTGATGAGTGCATGAGTAATTCTTTCAGTCATAAGAAGCCTACTTTTTCTCAGAACCCCACTGCTCAGAAATTAGGTATCTTAGATAAGGCTATTTGGAGTTGGAATTTAGAAACATATCTGTTCGTTCCTGCTATTTTTGCTCCAGTGCACAGGAAGTCTCCAAGCATGACTATGAGAACACATCATGACACAACGACAGTGAAAGACTGCATGGAACCCACGGGGGGGGTGGAATAAACCAAACAAAACCCCCAAATATCAGTGACAAAAAAACCTCACAGGAAATGGAAATCTCAACCATATACAAAATGAGATAAAAATTTGACTGCACTACAGCCACCCAGGTTATACACTCTCGGTTATCTTCATGAACAGTGCTTTACTGTAAGAATTCTACTGTGCTTTTAGAAAGCCTTATGTATTACAGCACACAGAAACCTCATGTTCCCATCCCACCGGTGATGGAGAAAAGTGTGAGTGCACTGCCATAAAAGAAAATTCAGTACAAGGAAAATAGAACTATTACATTTTTATGACCGTAAGCTATCACTGCAACACTGAGCCTTTTAGCTACAGTAACAACAACAACAAAAATGTCAAATGTCAAAATAGTGATTCAGAGGAAGTCAGAGATCTGAGGGGTGTGCCAGACAGAGCAGTCTTCACAAAAGCCATTTCAGAATCCACACACCACATCTGAGGCTGCTGCTGAAAAAAGCCTCGCTGTAGATCCATTTTGTTTCTTATTTAGCATTAATTATTAGCAACCTTTAACAACTATTTTAAAACAGCTCTTCTTTTGTTGACTGTTTCCTTTCATGGCTCCTTCACACACGGATACTCGGAGCAGGACGACTGGCAGAAGGAAGAGAGCTGCTGCTCCCAAGTGGAGTTTGACGGATGCTGCGTGTTGCATTCTGCCAGTCAATGGCCTGGCACAACACTCAATAGCAACTCCCCCTCTTCTGCACTCTGTCCTTGGTAATACATTGCCAAGCTAGGCAACAGATGAGAAATCTGACTAGAGAGAATCACAATAGTCTGTGGGTGGCAATTCTTAACAACTCAGTTTTAGTTCAAATTTGCTGATGTTAACAGCATGAGAAACTGTTTCCATGTAGTGCCTGCTGAGTATGTTTTCTTGCTACCTCCCTGTCTGCAAGTAAGCAGTACACGTGACTCAGATTTGAACAACAGTCTGGATATGTGTCTCCATCCAGCTCTTTGCAGTAATGAGAGAGGGGAAAAAGAGAAGAAAAATTCTTATCCTCCTTTATGAACGGCCACTGAAAACAATAATGCAGTTCCAGATGATTTAGGGAACTCACCTTCTGGGCCTCTGACTTGGCCGTCTTGTTCCCAGTATCTAGAGCAAGGCAGAATAGAAACTCTCTTAAAGCTTCTTCTGTTTTCCCCAGATTAGCTAATGCTTGTCCTTTCCTCAGGTGACCCTGCAATGAAACACATCCATAGTTGGCAGCTTTTGTTCTTTTGTCATGAGAATATGTAATAAAACCAAGATGAAACTACAAAAGATCTTTCCAGAGAAGAAAATGTTAGGCAGGGAGAATCACACTACAACCGTTGCTTGTATTTAGACACCACCAGTGTCTGGGGTTTTAACCGCAATGGTCCTGAAAACTCTTACAAGCAGAACTGGGACATTCTCTAACTCAGGCAAGTATGATTCTCACAGCACCTGAGCCCAACTGATCTTGGGGAAATCTGCTTCCCCTACATCAATCTCCTAAAATAGTTGTTGCATCCTTATAGAATAATAGAAGCACAGCATTCAATTTTTAGAGATAGTTTGTGAACTTGAGATTCATCAACAGCCTTAGCTCATCCTCCAAGATTATCGCTCTTTTCCTTCACCCCAGGAAGTTCAAGAATATCAGGGTTAAATATCCTTAAGTCACAGGAGTCCAAGAAGTTACAGGACTTAAAGCCTCCCTCCGATTCAGCAGTCTGACCATTCTAAGTGTTTTCTATCAGGGTGGTATCAAGGTTTTAAAACAAAGTACAACTGGAGTCAGAACTTACTTTTAACCAGTATGGCTGGAGTCTGCATGCTGTTTCTGCATCGTGCAATGCATCTTCACAAGCTTTCAAAGTAGAGTTAATCTGGGACCGGTTGCTATATAGTAAATGGTCATTTGGAGCTGCAGGAAACAGAAAAATCGGTTGATTGAAGTAAATTAAAAATTAGTTACATAAGCTTTATTCCTTTTTTAAAAAAAACCACATGTTGGTGCTTCCAAGTTGTACAAACCCACAAAATATCCAGTTTTTAAATAACTATGTACTAAAGGGAATCTGGAAACCTCTTTGGGGAACTCCAGACAAAACGTCAGCTATGTATTATATAACTGCAGGGGACATTGCATA